ATTTTATTTTATATGTTGTTATGAATTTGAGTGCTATATATGTAAGAAGTAATGTTTAGATGCTAGGTATATAAATATGTAACATTTATGTTGAATATATGTAAATGCCCCTCTTATTTCAATATATTTATATATCTTATATTGAACTTTTTATATTTATTTATTTAATCTATAAATCACATTGAAAATATTATTAATAGTTATTTTTTAAAACAAAACATAAAATTTTAGATCCTGATGCTTAACCAAAAAACTTCCATGACTAGGCACGAATCTCGATGCATTAAGACACTATAATTTCATATTAAAATTCAGCATTATTCGAGCTCTATTTTTAACTAATTTATTGTTTAATTGAGCATATAAAAAATATGAGCTCAATTATATTATAATGAATCAATCCAAACCCAAACAAGCCCAAACCAAGAAATTAAAATGTAATTAGAATCAGCTTAGAGCATTGAATAGAAAGTCAAATTATACTCGAATTTGACATAATTATAATCAAATCAAGCAGTCTGACAACATAATTCCAAAAAACCTGCTATCATTTAACTCTCAGTTCATTAAGACACTGAAATATTTAATTAAAAAATAATTTTAAATTGATGGAATCCGCACAAACCAGCTGAAGAAGCATTTTGGAATTTAGAGAAAGAAGTTAAAAGCTAAATTAACAATCTTCAAAAGGTATTGTAGCTAATGACCACCACTAGCAATAATTAATATTGCACAATTATTAGGTTGTGAATGTTTTATCTTAATTATTATATTATAGCTATTATTACCCAATTATTATAATGTAATCAACTTTGATGTCTACCCATCCTTATTGCAGCAATAGAACAGCATGCAAGTGTTCATATTTCTACAACCTCATGTCATCCAATTGGAGCGATAAGTGAAAACATTAACTTTAAATATATAGTATATTATTTTGACCGGCCTAGACCTCATAAATATCTTATACCCTTTCTTCCAACATATTCAATGCTATATATTATTCTATTATCTTTATCATCATAAAATTTTTTATTACATATATCAAATATAAATAAAAAATATAAATCAAATCAATAAAAAAATATATTATTTACATTCAAGGATAATATAAAAATAAAAATGCATGTTTTTCAACAATTCAGTAGTAGTTAGCCTGCAAAATAAGAGTTTCGCCAACCAGTCCCGTTTCTGCCATTTGGGAATTAAATACTCATGCCAAATTTACAGTTGGTCTTTCAATCCTCGGAACTTCTCCATTCAGCCCTCTCTCTCTCTCTCTCTCTCTCTCTCACATTCAACATGGATAGCAGAAAGCAACCCACTGACAGACACATCGATTGATTCATTCCACGTGATCCCCAAACTTTTTTCTCTGTGACTTTCTCTCTCTATCCTCTTTCCTGCCCGCGGGCAACCATGACCACACACACATACACAGCAGAAAGTACCAGAGATGGAAAACGATAAAGCAATGAAAAGGTAAAGACAAACAGTACATGGCCCATTGCGTGATGTAGAGAGAGAAAATCAGAAGTCACTTCTAAGTGCTGGGATTGTGACAGGGGAACAAACTTGCCCTACAAGAAAGAGAACCATCATTAATCATCTCTCTCTGCGCATCCGCAATAAACCCCCCCCTCCCGCCACCCCCAAAAAAAAAAAAAAAAAAAAAAAAAAAAAAAAAGCAAAATATGTAATTTAGTGGTTAGATCGCATGTAAATTTAAGTGCGGTGTTCATGAGCAATAAATGCTTATGATCATGAAAGCGACTTGTTCTATTTTTCATGTGACAGTGATAATGGGGGTGGTGGATGATATTAAATTAATGTTAAGGGTGGAGTCGTAAATTTATTCACGAGGGTTTTCGTCACACCATAAAAGATGATAATTAGATATATCTGAAAAATTGATATTTTGAACCTGTGTTGTTTTACAAGTGACAGGATCAAATTGTTGAGAAAATAGGACAAAGAAATACAAGAATCAACAAAACAATCAAGAAAGAATACAAAGATTTGACAAGATTCAGCAATATGACTACGTCTTCGGGAGCAATGAGGGATGACAACTTTTTTATTTCTGGAAAACTGTACATCCCCTTAGGGTTATAAATACAACATGTAGATATAATCCTAGTGTACAATATGTAATTACAAATTACCGTGTAGGGTGTTGCCCCCGTACCTCCAACTCACTTAACAAAACTCTCCCAATTGGATAGTATCACTTATCTAGTATATGAACTATACATAACATATGGGTTGGTGTTTTACCATGAGTTTTGAGATAATGGATTAAAGGGGATGTTTGATTTGTAAATAGGAAGTTTTAGGTGGTCTATACGCAATCATTCCTTTTTTTTTATTTGTTGTTTTATTGATTGTGTTATGTGATGTTGAAATTATTTTTTTTTTTATTTTTTTATTATCTCTTATATCAGCTAATTAAAATATTTTGATTTATTTATTAAGGAGTGTAAGAAGAAAATTATGATGATGTAATGATTATTATCTTCATGTTAATTAAGGATGGCGATGTATTAAGAAATGTTATTATGTTAAGATTTTGGTGTCAACATAATCATAATAGTAAAATTGCTAAAGTATTAATAGATTGTTACATCAGCTATAAGTCAGAACTTACTTATGAATTTGATTTTATGCAAATTATGGGAAAATAACACTTTTATTGGGGGCCATTGTAAAAGCTTTATTTATTCAATGAATATGATTAGCAATCAAAGCTTCATTAAAATATTAGATTAGATTACTAGACTTTAATTAAGTTATAAATCTTGATTTTTCTTTTGAGGTTATATTTATATATATAGTCTAAGGACTCCTCTTTGTTGGGTCCCATGGAGATGAGGTTGCTCCAACTACTATATGTCCTTGGGTAGTTTTAATATCATTCATATTGAAATTCCTAATTTTTAGCGTTTTGTCAAACATTTATGACGGGCTTTTCCCTCTTATTTTTGGTTTCATGACTTCAGACATAAATTGATCATCAATCTTGATTTCTTAACTCAAAACATCTATGTTTTGCCTAGTTATTTACTTAACTTTAACATTGAGGTATAACAACTTAATTAATTATTATGTTTGGATATCATTAGCCTTTGTTGTTGGTACCATCGCAATTATTATAATTCATTTCTAACCATCATTCAATAGTCTCTCAACATCACAAAATTCCTTTTTGGTTGTTGATCTAACCTTTTTAACTTTTGATGTCATTATCTCCTTCACATCTTCATCTCTAGTATTACTCTTTTCTTTTCTTTTTTCCTTCTTTATTTTGTTGTTTTATACTTTGACACTTGATTAGTAAAGCAGGTTCAAAGCCAAGTCTCAGCTGTTCGAAATCATTATCAAGTAGAAAGCATTACATCATAATTTCAGCCAAACACAAATGAAATTCAAAATTGACTTTAGAGGAATTATGTCACTTCTAATTAAAAGAACTAAGCGACATGTGCTAGAGACATGTTGTTGGACTCATTTACTCATCCATTTTGATCAAAAAGATTTCGAAGCACAAGATATCTATATTCCCCTTTGTATGTTCTCAATAGAGCCATATTTTGTTATATTATGTTACATTGTTGCTTAAAACCCACTATATTTATCTCCCTCTCTCAAACTAATATTTATATCATTATTATGCCACATTTCACTCAATAACTAAAATAAATACTTCTTATAATTTCTTAAATTCGAGTAGTTTGGTTGTCTAACACCACTCAACTATTATAATCAATAAATTGATTATAGATAATGATTATACAACACATTCTTATTCTAAGAATTCTCCCTTCTTACTAACTCTCACAGTGTATTTAATCACATCTTTTCTCTGCATTAAAACACTTTCTACTTTTTCTCTCTCATTAGCCTCCTTCACTTCACCACCTTCCCTCCCCTCTTTATATAAACTTCTCTTAATTTTTATCTAGGCAACAATACTAATACTACTTTTAAATACCTCAACAGTTTCCTATTATGCATTACACAAGGCTAATTTGATTATAAACATGCAACTGGATCTGTGGTTAGAAGGGCGAGACGTTCTCCTTCATTGGTAGACTTTAACATGTTTAGAATTTGCTATATGAGATTCGATTGCTTGATGTGAATATGTTATTAAAGATTTGAATGTCATGCATGTAAATATAAAAGTTTAAGCGTTAGATAACTAAAAAGATTAAAATTTTGTGATGTCGATCACTCGTCTATACTTCAATCGCCCCTTCCCTGATTAAACTCGACCACCATTTGAAGAAAATTTCCCTTCGAGCTTGCCGGAAATTGCGGCCAACAGTATGAAGACCATATTCCACCGCATCGCCGGAACAAAATAACAAACAATTCATCACAGCAGAATCTATTTCATCTCTATAATTCGCCACACCACAAAATGAAATTTCAATTTGAGTGCACAATCAAATAAAATAAAAAATTAAAACATCTAGAACAAGGTTTTGGAAAAATTCATGGCGCTTTATACGGCTCCGTAGTGTTACATGGACGAAAAGTTAACGAAGGCCATTTCATTAATAGGAAGGCGAGACCACAGTTATGAAGCTAAAATCTTGAACAGCGAGCTTAACCCAACAGATATAAATTCCAAGTGTTTCATAAACCAAGTGGTCCAAAAATTTCCACAATCAATTATGTCCGAATAAAGATAAAACCTACGCATACAATTCCAATTCTTCATAATCCAACGAGTTTTTCTTGCATTTGCACAACACCAAAGGAGTCCAAAGGCACATAAATGGCTCGCTAAAGAAAAAACAATGCAGAATGAGGTTCTTAAAAGCTTCAAAATTCTAGAGATTTATCAGAATCCCAAACAAACATAACCAAATTTCAGAAACGAAAAAGAAGATTTAAAAAAACAGGGAGCGGGCAGAAAATAGGAGTCATTCTTCAGAAAAGGTGTGGATGGTTCTCTGTTCATATCGACACGCAAAAAGAAGAGAATGTCAGAAAGACAAAATTTAGCGGGGAAGCTAAACTATTAAATACAAACAATATTCTTATGTTCTTAGCACAGTGCATACAACACGAGCCAGCCATGTAAGTTCTGTGCCACCGATACTGTTTCAGATGGAAAAGCTCATTTTACCAAAACAGCATTTGTCCTGTTGGCAAAGTTGCAAGTTTCTAGGGGAAAGAAACTCAAACATTCATGTTAAAAGAAAGTTATATCTACAAGGAACCTAATCTCCAGTAACAACAACTACCAACAGATTCGCATTCAGAAAAGCTCCAAATACCATCCCAATCCAGTCATTTGGGAAAAGGCCAAGAGAAATAACTGGAAGTTTTTGGTTCCCTTCTCTATGGCAGCTGCACTAGCTCATCCTTGTGCTTCACCATGGCTGGAGTGTTGCTTGATGCATCCAAACAAAGAAAAAAAGTACCAGATCCATGAAAATTGGTTTATAGGAGAGCACCGTATCTCAACATTTACAACAATTACATCAAGGATTCCATTTGATTGAGCTCCATAATGCCCTTGAGGAAAACACCAGGACAAATATGATCTAGTGTGTGTATAACTTAGTGATAAAGAAAATTTCCATTCATTCCGCAGACTCCCGAGCCTGCAATTCAAGGTATCACTTATCCAGATGCATTAGAATAAAAATACACAACATTAACACTATCATATATATTGAGTGATGGGAAGGGAAAAAAAAGAAAAACAAAACAATCTAGCTGGTAGCTCACCACACACTTGCATCACCGTGAATGTCATCTCCGGTATTACTGCCATGAAGGCTGCTTAAAAGTGAATCTTTCGGGTTCCCAACCTCCTTCTGGTTCCTTCCTTTTTAAAACACCACCTGCAACTTGATATAGTCTTGCCTGGTCCTCCATGAAGCTCTGTGAACTGGCAGCATGAAGCTGTCTTGTTGAGGGCACTCTGTCATCTTTCACTTCCTCTGCACTTCCAGGACCTGCATTGAGATCTAAACCCGGCCTCCCCCATTTCCTACTGCTGTCAGATCCAGTAGCAGCACTGCTTTCTGGCAGACTAATCATGTAGGGCCTTGCATAAGGGGAGGTAACAGCACCTGCAGCTCCCACGAGTGAAGAAGGGATGGGAGGGAAGTATGAGCCCACAGATGAAGAATCAACATAATTTGTTGATCCAGCAGAGAAAGATGTAGATGCCAGAGGGAAACTGGAGCCGAAGGGGAAACCAGCATAAGAAAATGCAGTAGCAGCTGGAGAGAAAGCCATGGCTGGAGAGGATGGAAGAACTGGTCCTCGATAGATATCACTTCCAAAAGAACCAGCACTGGTTACAGCCCCCAAAATCCTCTGGGACCCTGCAGCTGCGACGATTGGATAAGATTGCTCTCCTCTATCAGATAAGAATGATGGAATGGTAACTGCTGGGTAGGAATTACCAGGTGGAAACCACCCACTTCCCAGCTCGGTATTATTCATTCTAAGACCAACAATAGGAGGAACAAATGGCATGTTATTGCTGTTCTTAATATTTTGACTTCTTGAAAGTGGCTCTGCAACAACTTCATCAACGCCAGGCCCATTGTTTAGATCAAAGTCCCTTAACATATAGACTTCGCCATTAGGGAATCCATTCACTGCTGGTTTTGAAGGCAACAACGGTACTTCCAATCGATGGCTGGTACTGGCTAAGAACTGACCATTTTCTGCACCTTCATCAACTCTGTTCAAATCAAGATCAAGTCCACCAGCAGCCCTTGCAGGTACATCATGGTTACTAATTACACCCGACTCGGAGCCTGTTGTCTGAGGAGAGTTCTGAGAGGCTACATCTTCTAAAGATCTGTCATCGGGAACATTGAGATCAATTTCCAAGGGAGGACGGCCTTGCTTAGTTGAGGTAGAGTCTGATGACTGCACATCAGAAGTATTGGGCGGCATCTCAAGAACCTTTCTAGGTTCTGCAGGACGAAATGCACTAGTAGCAGCTGAGCCTTTCCATCCCAGTTCACCCTTACTCTTCAACAGATTTTCAGGAGGCATAAAAGATCCTTTAGCTGGAGCGGCAACAGTTATGGGAGCTGGAGAACCATTTCGATTGGGTGAAGATGAAAGAGATGAGAAATTTGAGATTCTTATTGCAGGTGAGTAAACACATGCAGCAGCTGAAATTGGCTCGCTCTGATTCACATCATCTCCAAGTACACCTTCATTCAAGTCAAAATCAAGTTTAGTCCCCGCATCTTGCTCAGAGGTTGTAACAAATGAAGAAATCTCAGCTGCAGTTTCCTCCTTTTTGTCTCCATCAGCTGCAGGCATTTTGGCACATGCATCGGCTTCCCTATGAACGGTAGGTGGTTGATCATGATCACCAGAACTTGCAGCATGCTTTTCAAGAGAAGCTAGTTTACCTACGTTCTCAGTGCCATTGGGCTTGCCATGTGTGGTGGAAGCAGATATGATATATGTTCTGTTGCTTGTGACTGAGATGATTGATCCGTTCCTTTCAGTCTGCTCATGGCATCTACCATCTGAGCTATCAAACATCTTACTTTTAGATAAATCAGCATTTTCTGGGCATGGAAACTTATCAGTAAGAGAGGAAACAGGTCCATCACCCCCCTTTCTTTCCACCACTGTTTTGGTTTCATCAACAGAATGTGGTTTTTGTCCTGATAATGTGGCACCAGTCTGAACACTCTCCTCAAAAGGATGAATTATTGATGAATCCCCATTCATCAAGTTGTCAATATTTTTACCAGATGCAGAAGCATCGGAGTCAATACCATGAGGCAAAGATTTGCAAATAGAATCAGATGTGAACTTGCTTCCTTCCACAATAACTTCATGAACAGAGCAGCTGGTTTTTATTTGATCTGTAGGGCTCCTTAGCTCAGAATTGCAATTTGTGAGAACATCAGCAATCTGCCCACCAGTCCTCCGGTCATCCTGGTTCTGATGTGCATCTTCCCTGTCACACTTTTCTTTTACATCTGCAAGAAAAAAGATGTATTACAATTATTCTTAACATTAACTCAATTAATAAAAAAAAAGTTCCAAATTTTTTTTTTATAGAAAATCATACCAGTGAGAAGCCCATTTTGTTGAGTTCTATCTTCCGACATGGGAGCAGTCCCTGTGATATCACATGGGAAATTCACACCTGCCTCTTGTATGTCATCCTTAGGAAACAAGGGAACGTTGTCCTTTCCATGCTTCTCAGAGTTGAAATCAGCATTTTCATCATATGGACCAATATTTCGACAACCAGAGTCACCAGAAGAAAACCTGGACTTAGCCTCATTTATGCCACTGCAAGGGTCCTCGATTGCAGGAGAACCTCCTGGAGAAGCAGGGGAGGAAACTACATCAGATTTGGAAATTTCTCCAGCTGCCACGCTCGCAAGTAAATTCATGCCTATATCATCTCCTCCTGATAAAGGTGTGGTAGCTTCAGAATATTTAGCACAGCTTTCAATCAACGCATTCATGGAGCTAAAAGAATTCCTCATCTTGGGCTCACCAACATGGGTACCTTTATCATTACCACCAGATGATGAACAAGCAGTTCTAGAGATTTCTATAGCCCTCAGAGCTTCATCAGCCGTCCTTCCTTCTTCATTAGGGATAATAGTAGGAGATCCATCACCCTCATCGCATACAATTAGCCCTTCCTTAACATCATTGCTTTGCCACGATTCACCATTGAGATCTGCAGGAGTGTAAGTTCGACCAACATCATCCCTTCCAGTCACCTTCCGATCTCCAGGCTCAGATTTATCAGGAACACCAGGAGAGGATGCTCTGCTACCAGCTGAGGGATCTTCCAAAGAGCCTCCGCTGGTGCTTCTGGCAGGGCTGCGACCAGGATTAGGAAACCTGACAATCAATCTATGATTGCTTCCATGATCTGAAGCAGATGCATCCCCTGTTTTATCATAATTTACTCCAGCATGTGAAGACCTCTCAACCGTTGAATTTCGGACAAGCATGACTGATTTGTTCGAAATAGATTCCCTGTGCCCCCCAGTTATATTGCTAGCTATAAAACCATTGTTTGACCTTCGTTGGCGTGATGAACCACCAGAAGTCTTGTTGGCATTCACTGATCCTGCAGTAGAGCTCCTAGCATCTTCCTTCAAAGAAGAGCCAACAGTCTTGCCATGATCACTTGAACAAGACTGGCTCGAACTGCTGCTCTTTTCCTCCTTTGCTACTATCTGTGGCAAATCCGAAATCCCACTACCAGCAGCAACTTTTGAAAGCGACTCCTTTGAGTTAATTATTCCAGATGCCAAAGAAGAAACTTGCAGTTTCCCAGATCCCACAATAGCAGCTGTAGACTTCACAGCATCTGCATGAACAGACTTCACAGCCATGCCCTTAGATGTGGATTGCTGAGTGATTGAGCTTTTCAAAGATAACTCGCCCGATCCAGTACGCCTATTTCCAGCATGTGAAAGTTCAGAGAAACCCTGTTTGACCGGCCATGCCATGGCTTGGCTGGGTCCAACAGGTTTGGCATCATTAGTTTTCATTTCCGCATCAACTCTTTTCTTCCAAGTGTCCACAAGACTTCTAGCTTTCTTCTGAATCTCCAAGTTCTTATGACTGCGCAAATGATTCACAGACTTTCCAATATTACAAGTCTGGAGGGCATTTAGATTGACAGGTAACTTATCCAATGCACGAAGTAATGCCAACAAAAACTCTTCCACAGCTTTATCGCTCTCTTTGGGACTATGCCGATCACCAGCCTTTCCTTTGTGTGCCTCTTGAAGCCATTCATCTAGAACAGGCACACCCCTAATCTGCACAAACTTGTTCAGGCAGTCTACTCGATCAGTAGCTGCAATCACATCTGCTAATAGAACCCGGCAATTTAAATCTATTTTCTTACTATTATCAACTTGCATCAGCTGAACCAGCTTCTCAACCCCATCAGTACTTGTAAGGGCCCCCTTCTCTGTTATTTTAGATATCTCAGACTTTAGCATGTTGTTGTCAAAGATAAAACCAGTAGAATCACCTTCATCCGTTTTTGAAGTACGTTCTCGCTTAATAGGGTCTGTAACATGATCACCCCTCTCCCTCTTCTTGCCCTTAAGTTGAGAAGAGAAGGAAGTCCCACTGTTCTGTATGCTATCTGAACCAGATTTTAACTGTTCTGCTGATGATGGACCATTCAATCTCTTTGGAGAGCGTCCCCCAGACTGCACTGCAGCATGCATTTCTAGCCTAGTCTTATCTAAAAGCTGATCTACTTCTTCCTGATGTTCCTGACAGAAGAAGTGTCATATGGAAGCATTAATAATTTAAAAATCACCATATTTTTATCAGAATAGAGCAAAATTATTCAACGCAGAAAATATTACATTTATATAATCCTGATCAGTTAGCCACCATAAACACTTGTTCGCTATGTCATACACTCTCCTACACACAAACGAAGATATTCCCAATGGCAGGTCAACACCCTTGCGAAGGAATGCAACTTTACAAGGATGAAGTAAAGAAGCAGCAGATATTACGTCCTTGTGGAAAGAGTAAAAGACTTCGTTCGGTGCTGCTTCTGGTAATATGCCTTTTGCAAGCTTGACGTCAGCAGGTCGGTAAAGCCAATTTACACATAATTTGAAATAAGCCTCTTTGTCAGTCGAAAACCATCGTATAATTCCAATAAAAGGTGGAGCATTGCCTGCCTGGAAAAGTGCACAATCACCTACTTGAACTTTTCTACCGTCCTGCTAATTAAAGAAACATTTACATTAATTGCATAAAGCGCTGATTAAATAAGCAATCAACAAACTATATTTATAAAAATTTAAACAATAAAATACAATGAAAAAGAATAATATAAAAATATAAAAGGGCATGATAGAAGCAAAATATGGTTTATCAAGCTAGAAAGCTAATATTGATTTTAATCAATTGCTTCTAAGATATTTGTTGAAAGTATTATCTTAACCGGAAGTTTACATCCATTAACTAACATTTAAGACAGTAAAAAATCCAGTAAAATTTGAGCATTTACTGTGAGGCACCAATCATAGACAACGCAGAAATATAAACTGCAGTACTTCAATATCTACTAATGAAAAAACTAAAGACTATAAACGCCAAAAAGCCTTCCTTACACGAACAATAGAACAATCTCTGCTAGTTTCTAATGCTGATTTCCGCTATCAAACTTAATAAATCATTTATGCCAGAAGACTGAAGTGATCAAGACATAAGGATAAAAAGTAAAAAATTTAAAAAAATAAAATAAAACATAACAATGGCCATGAAGTATATTCCAAACATGAGGAAATCAAAAAAGCACGAACAATGATTTTACTTCAATGAATAGGATTGAATAGACAATCGTCCTGAGCTCAGTTTGCATTTATTTTTCTTTAAATTGTATCGATCATTAATACTTTCTAGTTTTCAGATACAAATAGTAAAATAGCTACTTCAAAGAAAACATGTAAATTGCTAATTATGAACTGAAAAGCCTACATTACCATACGGGATTTCCAAAAAAAATAAATATAAGGATTAAATCAGTGTCAGGCAAGCCAATTAACAATCCTACTAAGAAAGCCTTAGAATGGCATCGCTACTGTATTAAAAAACAGCAGAGAAATCTCTCATCATTTGAAAGCTTGCATTACAGTTAAAATGCTTTGAGCAAAGAAGTGCTGAGTCAGAAAATCTTTCACCAAAATTATATAGTGATAAACAAGCATCGGTATCTAGGAAACATAACAGCATGCAGAAAAACACTCCTCCTATAGCATAGAACACTTTTTTTCTCACTCTTAAGGAGGTGCTTGGTGGCCTACTTTTAACTAGTTTTAACCATGAATTTAACGTAAATCCAACCAAACACTAAAAATAGGAAATTTAAATCCTGCGCTCCATTAAATCGAATACTCCCTGGTTTCATGTAATTTTCGACGTATATCTGAACAAATTTAAGAGTTTTGGCTCGCAAGCATTTCTCCGTAAAACTAAGGATTTGATAAATCTGGATTTATCGGATTTACTTAGTCCTACTTAATGTAAATCTGGGATGCAGCCAAACACTGCCTAAGTTTTGCATTTGATAGATCCAAACATGCTCATATTGACAGATTTGAATTGCTGCATAGAGTTGAAAAGCATTAGAATATTATACACTCTTGGCCCGCAAATTAAACTATCAAGCCATCAACTAGACAGCCATTTTAAAAAATGACCTACTGGCTAAGAAAAAAAATGCCCAAACACAGCAGAAAGGAAGATAAGAAAATAGGGTTTATCTATTCCATGACTTAAAAAATTCATCACTTCTTCCAAAAAATAATTAAACGAAAATAAGCATAATAATAGTAAAAAATAAAAAAGCAAAAATAAGGAAATTTGCTCTAATATTCATGATCATATAAAATCAAAGTATTTTCAAGTATACCAAGGGCAAAAATAAAAATCAGAAATTTGAAGCACAGGAACCTTGAAATAAGATAAGAAAATGAGCATAATGCATTTTTTGGAAAAAGTCTCCAATTCTGCACATTCTCTAATATAATACATTATAAAATGTGAAAGATGAGGCATCCAGAACCATAAAATTTTCTATACACCAATCTTCTCTATTTGAAAAACAAGAAATAGATAACATTTAACTGGAGATTAAACACCCATTTAAAAAAATATGAAAACAAAAATGTTCATTTAAGCCTGCAAAATATGCAAATTCTCCAAAGCAAACATGCAATGTGCAACAGGGATATTAAGAATTCTCAGAATCACACAAATATTATGAATAATAGTAAAGATATGAATAAAGGTGCTAAATCCTGAATGCAACAATCTTATACAAATACACTTTCATTAGCAAAATTCGGCATTAAATAACATGCAATTGGAACCATTGTTAATTAAATAAATTATAAGCAAGCCCATGTACTTCCAAGGCCACAGAGTATGGTTCTCAAAGGGGAAAAAATGGTTTCACTTATACAAAGTCAACGGAAAACAAAAAGAAAACAGAAAACGGCTTCAAAGAAGGATGAAGACTAAAGGAAAGCATATAACTGTAAATTCTTGCAGAACAAGCTAGTTCTGCAAGAATTAGTAAAAAGCTTACCATAACACTTGCAACAGAGCATTAATTTAGAAAACAAAGGATTGGAAAATAAGAACAAACTCCTCATATTACCATACAGGTTAAAAAAAATATCACATGATGACGATAAATCAAGCTAATACAAGTACAATAAAACATCATAAAGTTGTTTCAGAGATTGTTTGAATCAAAATTATCCAATTGTATATCATTTATGGCCACAATAAGGCTAATGAAAACGATATTGACAAAAAATACATGGTGTCAAAATGGTTAATTGTGAATTTTATTGAAAGGGTTTGCCAACCTACATTAAATTTATAGCAATGTCAAGAATTCATTTTGGTGAAGAAATATCTTGTCAGCCGTTGAGCTCTAGTGCGTCAAAAATTGCTACTAAATTTATAACAAAAAATGATATGCATTTTAACTAGGCCATAGTAAAACATATATCATTATACTGCCAAGAAATGAGCATTAGGTTAAAAGAATAAAACTGACATGTCGTCCAGAAAGTGGAAGGCAAAGTTTCCCTCTATAATCATACAAAATTCCCAGTGAAAGAGTGCCAAAAATGAACTCTGAAACTTAATAAGATAGTTCACCACGATTGTACAAAATTAAAGCAATAAAAGGCACTAATTTGCTTAAAATATATATTGTCTGTCCACAGGCACAGTTTCTTAATCAATAACATTATTATGCTAAAAAGGTAGGCTATCAATAAACCAGACGATCATGAAAAGCCTAGGAAGAAATAGTAGCTATGCAATCAAGAGAGAATACAATATATAAGCTAATTCATCCTCCTAACAAGCAATTCATGGTTTTACCCTAAAGCTGTAAAGAAAAATAGGAACAATGAGAATCAAAACAAGTAAAAAATGGACCCAATGTTCACCACGGTACAAAATTCCACGGCAAACGACTGTGAAAAGAGATACATCCATCGAGGATCCGATCCTACATGATACACAAAGGAAGTGCCCTAAATCAGCGGAACATACGGAAAAACTCCCAGAAAACAATCAATAGTCCACACAACTAAGTCACATGAACAGACAAACAAATCCAAAGACCAAATCAGTCCTTCAATCCGAAAACAACCTCAAAAACAGAAAAAAGCAATAATCCCCTTTACATGCTACCTCCGTCTGCAAATTAAGTTCCTCCGACTACTAGAGACCTGTATCCCCAAGCCTAATCAAGGCAGGAGGAAGGAATATTACCTTCAAGAAAGAATCTGCAGAGGTCTGAACCAAATTTGCCGCCGGAGCTGGTGGCTGTATAATCACAGCCGGTTTCTCTACTGCTGCTGCTGTACCGGGCGCAGGGACCGACCACATGTGCTGCCTCCGTTTCCTCTCTTCACCTTGCCGCCCATGCATAGCCTTGCATCTTCCCCACCGTTGTTGGTTCCGATCCCTCGTCCTCCCCGTGCGAGACACATCAATTCCCCACCTTTAAACAAATCCCCTTGTCCCCGATGACAGAACGAATAAACCCTAGGCACCCACCTGCTACCTCTATACCGATCCGCGAAACCCTAGATCCGCCGCGTTCACGCACATCAGCCGATCAAAAACGCCGAAACCCTAATTCGCAGAGCGGCCACCGACGACTCGCCGACGACCTATCGAATCGAATCGAGCAATCGAGAGAACGGGTAAGAACACGAAAGGCGAAAAAGAAGGGATTTTCAGAGAGATTTGGGTCGCGGAAACCGCGATCTGTGAGAAGAGAGAGAAGCTTATTGCCTTATTGGAGCGACCACGCAAGACGGCAAAGGGAGAAATGTGTACCTGGTAGAGGAGAACGGGCAGTTCGGGCAGCTTAAACGGGCAGCAAATGTCAAGCGTGCGACGGGCGAACTCTCGCACATGCGAGCAAAAATGCGAAGATCGCGCCAGCGCGCGGTTTTTTTTTTCTTTTTTTATTTTCATTGCGCAAATGACATCATGATTTTTATTTCCTTTTTTTTGTAAATATAAATTATTTTTTGGAATATTTAGTTACATACCACTTAGTTCCTATGTATTTACATGTCTAACATCTAAATTTTAATTTTGATATATGTCATCTTTTCTATTTATTAAAATATGTATTTCATTGCATTTGCTTCAAATAATATTACACCACTAAATATAAAATACGAAGATTTACATACATGTCGCTTGAATTCTTATGTATTTACATATCAAACGCCAAAAATTTAATTTGTACATATAAGTCATTTGGCCTATGCATTGAATGGTGTATTTCACTTTCAGAAGTTAAAATAGTGGTATTTTCTCGTGTAATATGATACATTTGGGTTGTATAAACCTACAAGGTAAAGTATACGTGTAAGATATGTAAATACATGAGATTTTGGTGGTGCCACTATAAGAAATTACATACAATAGCTTTTAGCTCATTAAAAATTCTTAAAAGAAAATAAAAGTTCATGGTTATCGCCTTAATTTATCTCCAAACAAGCTAACTATTCACTTTCTTATTTTGAATATAATTTATCATATGAACGAGTTAGCTAAACCTTACATGTTTAGTCCAAATCTTTAGCACAACACATAGCTCTCCAAATATGTAATTCCTGTTTTATTTAATTGGTCAGCCAATTCATCCTCTCCAATCTTTCATCACCCTATCATAAACTCTAAAATACTTATTTAAACATTAAACTGAAGATTTAAAGGACGTTAACCGCTATCAAGTGATGGCGTCCAACCCACTTAGATAGTTTATTATGAAAAGCAATTATAATCAATGAGTTTGGTGAATTAAATACAACTAGTAATCATCATTATAAAAAATAAATGACAATGCATTAGGTTATGCATTATGAATGGCAAATGAAGGATGATTATAATATGTTATTAGTATAGTTGATGTCATCTAATTATTGAAGTTATTGTGATATTGAAACAATAAAGAATGTTGTTTGTTATAAAAGTCTTTGGTACGAATTTATTGATAATGTGTATGATTAATTTCATAATGTATTTGTGTATATATATATGTCACATCATAAGATATATTTATCTATGTTTGTGCATGACTTATCAATCACTTATCCTTGATAGTATCTGTTTCTATGTAATTTGATTAGCCAATAAAAGAGCATAATATTGACATAAATATTATTATAATAGCACGCACATTTCACATATTACAAGCAACTAATTAGCATAAGTTTTATTATTAATATAAAAATTGATATTTACATATCAAGACATGAATTATGGAATAAATAAATACATTAATAATGGTAACATGTTAAGAAAAATAAATATTACAGTGATATGAATCAATTTAAAGTGTAAGAATTTATGAAGTAATGCATCAAGGCATGCATTAGCAAATAAGTATAAGACATGTATTAGCAATGAATAAGTAATAAAAATAAGATAGACAATTCTACAAAATATTTAAGAATCTAATACAAGTTATGATGGCAATTCTCCTAACAAAGAAGAATATGCTCACCCCATGATAAATAAAAATTACTAACCTCAATGTGACCGACATGATATTCCAAACTTAACTAAGAACAAATTCACTAAATTGTACAGGTAGAGACCTTATATACAAGAATCATCGATTAATCATATAAATTGAAAATCAAACCAAGGAAAGTGCAACCTAAATTAAATAAATAGCCTAAAGTTTAATTATCACCATGACTTAACTTATGCTAACAAAATTCAATTATAATTTTGTACTTCAAGAGCAAAAAATAAATTTATATATGAACTAGTTAATTTAACATGCACATAAGCTAATATAATCAATAAAAAAATTTCAATTAAAAGAACTACTTATCAAGTTATTATATGCTTCATATGCATTAGGACTGGAGGACAAATGAGACGAATTAGAGGGAGGAGATAATGATGACTCGCTTACTTTGTTCGATCAATGAAGAAGTATATATGAAATAAGATTGACAATTATCGATCAATGGCGTAAAAGGGAGAAATGACGATTAGAAATTGGGAGGAAGAAGAAACAATAAATTCTCTGCAGTGACACAATGTCCTAGTTCTTGGTTCTTAAATCACTTGCAAAGGTGGTGATAAGCATGAGAATTAGATCATGTGATCAACGCAATAGTTAAGATAGAGGTAGTAAAGGTCAAGTAGGTATTTCATGATTAAGAAGGTTTGATTCAAGGAGGCTAGATTTTAAGGAGATCTTGTTCAATCCTTACATTTGACATGTTCATTTCCCTATCATAAACTGAACATTTATATTTGATTTCCAATTCGTTCATCAAAATTTAAAAAGGACACCAAATAAAAACACTCATCCTTAGTACTTATTATTAAAGAAAAATTCTATTAGCAAAGATACTAATTGATACGTCATCAACAAAATTATATCAGCTGACATGAATCTCGACATAATTTTTTGAGTAAGGAATATTCAAACTTCAATTACAAATCATCTAAAACTCAAATTTAAGCAAATTTATAAAGAATGTGACCTTCTAAATGATACAAAAATTGGTCCATTTCGAGTAAAATCAAGCCCAGATCAAGCCATTAAACCATTTTAGGAAGTTTACTACATATTTGCAAGATCAAACATATTCTAAACCTAACAAGCTTATAGTTAAATTGAGCTCCTCGGCCAAAATAATCTAATGAGTTTGATATTGCTCAATTTTGTTATCATTAAGACACTCAAATATTCATTAAACAGTGTCTGATCAATAGAATCTATGTGAGTCATTCGATAGAGTTGCATGAATTCTTTCCTTATTTGCACAGAGACTTCTCCTATATTATATAAATAGAGCTCACAGATAGGGGTGTAAACGAATTGAACACGAACATGTTCGTGTTCGGTTGGTTTGAAATTTAGTTTGTTTGAAATAAGCTCGAGTTTGAAATTGTTCGTGAAGTCACTGTTCGTGTTAGTTTCTTCATGAACAAACCGAACATGAGCTGTTCATGAACGACGAGCCAGTTTGACATCCCAAATATTAATATATATATAAATAATATATTATATTAATTATATAACTTATATTATATAAATATATAATATCTAATATCATAAATTTTTTATATATAATTATTTTAAATTATTTTATATTTTGAACAATAACGATTCGAACACTAACGAACGCATCCTTGTTAGTGTTTGATTCGTTTAACTAACCGAATGAAAAAAATTTGTTCATGTTTGTCTCGTTTACTTATCGAACGAATTGAACACGAACTCATTGACGACCTGAACACGAACTGTTCGCGAACAACAAGCTTTTTGGACAGCCCTACTCACAAAACTTGCAAAAAGGCTTCTCCTCCTGAGATGTGACATAGATCTTGAGCCATAAGAAGATTACAACATGCAGAATGAGTTGTTGAAGTCCAACAACGTTTCTACACTGAAATTACGATGAACTCCTCCCACTCTTGCAACCGCCGACTACTGTCGAACACCGCTCATCGGTCATCGTCGATCACTATCGACCACCGCCTACTCCTTACAATGAAATCACTCATGCGCTGTGAAACAACGAAGCACGATAAAAGCAAAGTATCACCCAATACGTCATTTAACGAAGCACCTCGAAGTTCTCGAAGATAGTGCATTGGTTCCAATAACTATGTCTCAATATTTTGACTTAGAACTATACTTAAAATTTTCAACACTAAATCATCCTAAATTCAAATATTGTATATTAAACCTAGAAAAATATACTCATTGCATCATTGTTACCCCATTCAAATAATATTAAAATATTTTTAATATTTATTATATCATCTAATTCAAACCCACATTCAACCCAATTCAACATCTTAGTTGCTTTCAATGACTATACTCACAAACATACCAACAAAACATTCTGAAGTATAGAAAGGCAACATTTAAAAAAAAATCACGACCACTTTTCGGTCATAAGCACCATATATGTGTGTGTGCCTGTGCAAATGCCCTTGAAAGGATCTCCTATGGATCTTTAAGGGGTAGAACAATCAAAAGACAATAAAGATGTAATTGCCATTTCACGTTATTTTTAGTTCTCTATATAAATAGAGAAATGTTGACTGTAGAGGGAGGGTTTCTAATGTTAGAAAAAGATAACTAATTTCTTACACCTTTTTTTTATTCTCTGCCTCATTTCATACTCTATTTCTTAGGTATAATTCACATACAAATGTGTGTCCCATAATATATATATATAATATATATATATATATATATAATGCATCCAATGATTTAGAACAATACCAAGTCAGTTTCACAAGTCGTGCATGACCAAATTGCCAGCGGACTAAAGACAAATTGTTCTACACATTGATTGAAGATTGGAGAAGAGAGTTACTTGTCTTCTATAAATTATGTTGGAGCGAAATTCTTTTCGTTGATGAAAGATCCTAATTGAAATGATTTGATGACTTATAAATATGATTGCTAAAATAGCTTTTAATTTATTGGGGCATTGACATACATACCACCCATTTCTTATGTATTTTCGTATCCAACATCTCAACTTTGCTTTTTTACATTTATACCATCCAAATATTGCATGTCCCAAAATATACCATCATTTTAGCTTAAGAAAAAATGAAATATAGATTTTCATAAAAAAAAATAAAGTTTGGGTGATAGATATGCAAACACATAGGAATGAATGGTATATATGTAAATCTTTAAATTTTTTTTTTTTTGACAAATCTTCACTAACCTTATCTTTGTATTTACAAAGATACCAAAACAATTGAAGCATTCAAAGCTTAGGGGAAAATTATTACATCAAGACTCTGCATGCAGAGCTACTTGTGGAGTCGAGTCTCGTGCTGACACGTGTAATGCCGGCTCATCTACATAAAAAATGAAAAAAAAATAAAATGCGTGGCCCGACCGGACCGGACCGATGCGTTACAGAGTCTAAGCAAATATTTTTTGCGTTATTTATCCTTGTGTCATGTTATAGGAATATTTTCTCATGTTATTCTGAATAACACATCAATAACACATCAATAATTCAAAAATATTCAAAATAACGCAAGAGAATATTTCTAAACCCTCAATAACACATTAAATAACTATAAGTTATTAATAAATATAAATTATGACATCTAAATAAATTATTTTTGTTCTATAACACACTAATAACAAACTAATAACAAACTAGTAATATATAATAAAACACTAATAACACATAATAACACAATAATATACTCCACAGCCCCCGATACAACACGTGAGGAATATTCTCTGCGTGTTATACCTCAGGTTATAACGTCGCCCCATGTGTTATACAGCCGCCCTATAACACTCCCCTAGCCTGTGGTATAACACACATGGAATATTCCCCACGTGTTATACCGCATGCTAGGGAGTGTTTAATTGTGTTATTATGTCTGTTATTACGTGTTATTAGTGTATTATTATGTGTTATTATGTGTTATTGAGTGTAAGAATATTCTTATACTCTCAATAACACATCAATAATACATGAATAATGTGAAAAATATTCAGAATAATGCGAGAGGATATTTTTATGCGATGAAATATTTTTATAACTCATCGGTCAGGCTGGTTCGCATGTTCTCATTATTTTTTCATTTTTTATATAGGTAGGTCAATCTTTCATATATCAGCACGAGATTGAACTCTAGAGCCCTGCCACAGTAATTTTTCGGAAGATTGAGACCTCCCACAAATCTCACTGAGGAACGACCGCTTTATTAAAATTATTCTTCCTGTTAACAATCTTAATTTATAATGATTGAAGACGAAATAAGAAAATCGTCTTTTCAAACTGTTGCTTTTTTTTTAATAATTAGAACAATTATTGAGCTTTCAGAACTAAATTGTCAGACTATCTTAATTCGTCTCTCTTTTCCCTGTTTTTGATGTGATCGATTTGTAATTTAGTTATATTTGCTTCTTTTTCCTATGCGTGCTGTTTTTTGTATTAGTTTTTTCTTTTCTGAGTTCAGGTGTTTGTCTCTTATGTACCGTAACAGTATTGTTTTCTTTCATACATACCACACAATTTTCACCTATTTACATATCACAACACTCTAATCCTTAAAACAACATTAAGAGAATACTTGTACTACTAACTTTTTAAAATTGGAATGCTCATTTTCATGCGTAGGTTAATGACATATCAATCGAACTAAGCCAACCTTCCGAAGTGGATGAACCAAGCTCATATGTCGGAAATGGATGAACCGAGCCCCCATATTTAAAAGTAGTTGAATAGAGAAGTGGCTGAATTGATTTCATATTTCGAAGTGGTTGGACTCATTTCTTTTAATCATGGGCGGCAGCGTATCCGGCTTAGGGAGATACAAATAGTGGAGATGGTCATCATTACCATTAAGGCCAGACACATGTCTTTCCATTTTTAAAAGTGTTGTCAGACTTCTACATATCAGTATTTTCATCAAGACACTGTGGATAAGAGTCGCATAATACTATTTTTTTTTGTTAAAAAAAAATTCATCATTGTATAAAAGGATAGTCAAGCTAAAAGAGAGAAACCTTCTCTCGATCTTCAAAAAATCTTTTAGCTCGAAAAATCTCCCATGAGCCCCTGATATTCCGGTTTGCCGGAGGCTCGAGTTCAACACATAACCTCTAAAACCTTTTTCGAGTTTTATACCATCTTTCTTTTGCCGACCCTACACATAGAAGCTTCAAGAGATATGTCATGTACAAAATGATTGTGAGGCATTTAATTAAATTTCCCAAAATATAAAATGTTTTATTCTTGATACATGTGATATTGATCATGGTTCTGAAATATTTGGTTAAGTAGTACTAATTATTTCAAATTAATTAAAAACATTATATAAATTTAGCCCAACTCTATGGCTATAAATTTAACATTAATTATTGTTTTTAATACTTAATCATTTCCAGTTAACTGTTAATGCTTAATTTAAGTAAGAATTAAGTCAAGCTTAATTGGAAAAGTTATCTATCCGCAATCCCAGCTTGACCCAACTGCGAAACATAATGAATTTTTTGGCGCAAATAGTTATGTTTAATTCAACTATTAATTTAACGCAGTTTGTTTAATATTAAATTTGATTGATAAATTATTATAAGATCTATACATAACTGTCGCAATGAGCCAGATTTGCAAGGGCCAAATCATGGCTGTAAACAATAGACTGCTAAGTTAATTTGTGATGGGCCAGAGATAAGTGCCTGCAGGCAAAAAAGCTTGAAAATGATAGCTATCAGTAGCCAACATCTTTTTTTATTTTCTTCGTGTTGAAAAACGATGATAATAAAACGAAAAATAGAGCTAGAAAAATTACACGTAGCAAAAAAAAAAATACCAGAGCGACACAAATTTACGTGGTTCGACAAATTTACCTACGTACACGGAACTGCAGAAGATTTTATTTCTTCGGAGAATTACACCATCGAGCGCATCGACGTTTACAATAAAATCTTTATTTTATTCTCTCCCTTCCCCTCTCTTTCTATTATTATCTTTTTCTCTTAGAGGACTTGACTTGGTCTGACTTTGCTTTGCTTGACTTTTTTATGAGAAGCCATAAGAGTTTATTTATAGAAACAAAGAGAGCAGTAAGTGGGAGGTAGGTGAGCGGTGGGTGGGATGTAGTAGGTGAGCGGTATGTAAGAAGGTAGGTGAGCGGTATGTAGGATTCTTAATTAAAAAACTAATTAACAACAGTTAATTAAATTATGGTGGACCGGGTCTCTACATTACCCAACACCTCAATGTATAAAGTTTATGTCTTGTTAGCTTTTAGCAAAAATAAAATAAAAAAAAAATTAAGCATCTACGTGATTTTTTGAACAATTAAACCGATACTGTTACGGGCATCATGTCGAATCATTATTAATTTGATAAAAATGAAAAAATATGATTTGGCCATTTTCATGACCTTTGATATTTAACTGTTAATTTGAAAATTGTATGAAGGATAGTGCTTGATTTGTATATAGTAATGTTTTGGGTGCCCTAATAAATATTGCTATTTACAAATCAAACACCTAATTGAATTTTTTTGAATAATTAAATCGAAGCATTTACAGGTGTCATGACCAAATCATTGTTAATTCGATATTATTGGTTCGGGTTTTCATGAAATTTGATATTTTATTGAATATGTATTAATTTGATAGTTCAAAAATATAATATACGTGGTCCTATATCTGTTGTTTTGTATTAAATATATTAAATTCTATTTTGTATTCACAAAATCAAAGTGGCGCAGCGGAAGCGTGGTGGGCCCATAACCCACAGGTCCCAGGATCGAAACCTGGCTTTGATATAAGAGAAAGGCTTCCTGCGTTTTTATTTTTAATTCGTATTTATCCTTTTTCTTTTTTGAAATTATATTTTTCCAATAATTTTTTTTGCCCTCTTCGGCCGGCGAACTAAACAATAGTTTGTTCAAAGAAAGTAAAGCCTTTTTTTTGGCCCTTTTTGCCGGTGGAGCTTCCTAAATTAGATATTATAACTATTTACATACATACCACCCAATTCTTATGTATTTACATATGAGAAATCGAAAACTTGATTTTTATATTTATACCACCCAAACCTTCTGTATTCTGAATATATATATATATATATATATATATTAAAATACTTGAAATATTTTTAGAAATTTTTAATAATTTTAAAAGCAAATTTATTTATTTTTAAAAGTTTAAATTAGAAAGATATAGAAATTATATTATTTAAATATATTTTAAAAAATAATATAATAAGATAAAATAAATGGGATGGTGATTGATAATAGAAAAAAAATGTTTATAAACACAATTTAGAATTTATGGGTGATGATAAGTCGGCATAAGAAAATTTAATAAAATTATTATTTTAATTAAGAGCTTAAATGAGTTGAATTTGAGCGAGCTGACTATGTGTTAGTGTTAGGCTCATTAATATTTTTTTTTGTTTGAAATTAGCTCGTGTTCGAAATGACTCGGAAAAATGTGTTCGTGTTGCCTTGAATATTCTTTTTCGTTTTCAGCTCGTGTTTTGACTTGAATTAGCTTATTTAAATTAATTAAAAAGACAGATGTAGGGTGTTGGATTCAAACATAAAACATTCCTTTACAATAAAATGCACAAAATCACATGGCCACACAAGAAGTGGTAATTAAAATTTATATATAAATGTATATAACTTATATAATTATTGATTTACATATTTAAACATAAATTTTTTACCATTTTATTTATATCAATTAAAAATTTTCATTTCACATTTCTTGACTTAAGAAGAATGAATTACATATATTCATGCACATATTAAATTACAAATATGTAAAAAAGCAATACTTGTGCTAAATATGTAAATAGATAAGAATTAAGTGGTATGCATGCAAATCTTCCTTCTCCGTTAATCCGGATACATCACTAACAGACAAAACCAAGAATGGACGTTCGCCGTAGGGACGGGGAGCGCATTTTCAACGCTTGACGGCGCAGCACGCTGCTGCGCCGATAAATTCGGGACTGACTCTTTCTTCTTCACGAAGTTGCTCCTCTTTCGTCGGTCAAATCTTCCATGTACTACCTTGTTCTTGGGAATCCATTCCGTTTTCAAAGGCGATAAATGACGGAATTTCACTTTACTCCCGCCTGGAAGCGATGCCCTCGATGCTAATTACAGCTTGGTATTGATTCTGGTCCAGGCTTGGGAGAGAGCGCGATTGAGAATGTTGGTTCTTGATCTTTCTGGAGTTTTAGGGTTTTAATTGTATTTTTGATGGGATTGTAAGCGCAGCGCAGAACGTGTTTGACCCAAGAGTCTGGGCTGATGTTAGTTTTCTCTGCCGTTTTCAAGATATAAAAACCGAAATGAAACTTATGCGTAATTCTGATCTGAAGCCACGGGAGAGCTAGAGGAGGCTCTGATACCGAGATGAAACACAACCTGCATACAATGAGAATAGGAGAAGAAGAAGTATTATCGGAAGGTATGAGAGCTGAAAAACTCATGTAGCATGATTCTATTAACTGTCACACAAACACGCGCGCGCGCGCGCATATGTTGGTAGGAGACGGAGAATATTGCAGCAGTGTCTGTTAGGATCCTGAGTAGTGGACCGACTGAACTGTGTTAGATATGCTGAAGCTGGTTATTAAAATTTGATACTCAAATTTTAAATCTTGGTTGAACATTAGTTTTAACCTTAAGATCAAACCACAGAACTTCAACCCATACACCCTATGATCACTCCTCTAAAACAGGTATATCTAAACCTAAATAGATCTTGGATCTTGCTTCACTCTTACCACTCCAGCCGCCCCATCATCCTTCTCCTCTGCTGCTTAGCACGAATGCTGGCGTCGTGCCATGTCCAAGGAATGTCAGGCTCTCCAACAACAAAGAACTCGGACTCTCGTTCCTTGTTCTAATTAGAATGCCCTCAACTGTTGTTGGACCTTCAAGTTGAAATTCAATCCATACTTTTCCATAGCTTGACATAAACCTGGCCTCTTCGCCCAATGCTACAAGCAAGAATACAACATCAATTATGCTAGAACATTCAGTTCCGCTGTCAAAAATGAGGACAATTTAGTATCTTCATTGTCATTTCCACCTACCTCAACTGGCCAGTGACCAATTGGATGTTCTAGTGCTTTTCTTCACGGTTCTCTTCAAAAAATTGTCTACATGATTCAACCAAAAGGCTTTCATTGATCCAACAAACCCACCTATGTTTGTGAACTTCACAACGCTCTTTATGACCTTAAGCAAACTCCACGCCAATGGAACATCACCCTTACCAATCATCTTTAGACTCTCTGCTTTCACCAAAGCTTAGTTGATCCATCTCTCTTTCTCTACATAAACAACTCTACACATCTATCTTCTAATTTATGTCGATAAACTATTAATCATCGACAGCAATCTAGGCGTTATTAACTCTACCATCACTACACTACATCAACAACTCCACATGAGGAACCTTGGTCCTACCTCCCAATTCATTGGCATTAATATATACAAACATGCCAAGGGCCTTCACCTGTCCAAGCACACTACCCCAGTAGTATCCTTAGCAGAGAATGTCTGCTCCATTGCAAACTGGCACCTACACCAATCTCTACAAAAACCACCATACTGGTCCATACCATTACCTTCAGACCTTCCTCTCTCAAATCCTCAATTCTATCGCTATCTAATCGGATCACTCCAATACCTTACCATCATCCGCCTGGACCTTGCCTTACGGTCAACCACCTTTCTTAATAGGCATAAGCCTCTCCAATACCCGCCTGAACCTTGCCTTTACAATCACCACCGGCCTGGACCTTGTCTTTACCATCACTGCAATATTCCCTCTGTCTTCTACCAACCTATGTATATATATATATGATAGTTAATAGTATAAGGTATAGAAGGCTTTCAACTCTCATGCTTTCTTGTGATACTTATATTTCTATTCCTGCTGCTTGATTTCATTTCTTGTGCAGGTTCTGTGTTTCATCTATTGGTGTGCCGGCAAAGCATTTGAACGAAGCTTCTGGGCATAAGGGTTAGTTTTCTCTGCTGTTTTCATTATATAACGAGCAAAATGAAGCTTAAGCGTGCTTCATTTATTTATTTATTTTGATAGAAGTGAAGTGCCATTTTTGAAGATGAAGCATAGCAGAACGTGTTTGGAATTCTATGCCATACTTAGAGGAAAGCAGATGCTCTGTTTATTATTCTTTATATCAAAGTATGAATGGATTTAAATTAGTAATACATTGTGCTCCATTTTAAGTAGAACAAATGTGATTGACCATTCTTTAGAAGTTGGTTCATCAATTTATTGAAGATTTTTTATTTTCACATCATTTACTTCAAATTGGATATGGTAGCCCTTGCAGTTGCAGAATTGTTGGTTCTTAGATCAATTTTAGAACATAAGTTGGGTTTTTTATGGAATAAATTAGCTTTTTCGTATAAAGCTTGCTTGCAATGTTCCTAGGTCTTTTGTAACTTCCTCTTCTTGAAATGGGGACTTGTTCTATGGATCTGAAATGAAAGACCACTTTTATGGCTCTTTGTTTTATAGCAACGTTATATTTAGGGAAATTTACATACATACCACACAATTCTTATATATTCACATATCAAATACCTAAACTTATATTTACTTTTTTTAACAAACTTGAGCATGAAATTGTGTATTTCACTTTTAAAAAGTAAGTAGTAGAGATTTTCTTGATGTGATATTAAAGATTTGAGTTTTGTATGTAAATATGAAACTTTATGTTTTTGATATGTAAATACATAATCATTGTGTGTTATGCTTGCAAATGGCCCTTACAACATCTATAGGTCTTCACGCGATATTTTTGGATATTTCCCTCACGTCTTCTATTTGGCACTACACACGCGGCTTACCTCTTACTTAGTGATCAACTCCTGTGATTTTTTTATTGTGTTATTTGCGGCTTGGTCCTTTTGTTATTTGGCTCTAATAATTCCAATGATGATCCATTTGAGATTACGGATGAGCCGGGCCAATAGATTTTTGACCTAAAATACGAAAAAGTCTAGCCAACCAAACTAACTTGAATTTTAGTTTGATTGATATTTTCTAACTTGATCAAATTTTAGTTTGATAGGTTTGAGTTCAGTTTCATTATGGATGAATCGAGTTTAAAATAAATATTTTGGGAGGGATTAAAATAAAATTTATAGAGCGGATTAAAAATATAAATAATTTTCAAATTAAGTAGTCAACCTCATATTACTATCATCACATCATAAATTAATATGTTGGATTTCATTATAGCTAATCAAAATTATTTGCAATCCAATGAAGGTCACACCTGAACATCAAGGAAAATATGGAATCAGCATTTAGTTAGTATATATTATGTAAGATATATATTAAATCGATTATGCTTTATTTTTTTAATCAATTTTAAAAAATAACAGCTAAAACATAAATAAAAAAGGTCAAAATTACAAAAACAATTAAACCAATGCTTAAACAAGCAAACTTAATAAACCAAGTAAGATTATTGATTTGATTATGTAAGCAAATACCCAATACTTCATATCATAATTCATCCTTAGATTCTTTTTTCTTTACACTTATCTTCGGGATTCGTAACCGACATATTAATTATAAAAATTATGGACAATCACACTAACATTATTCCCAGAGCTATTATTGAAGATAAAATCCATTGGTGGGTATTAGGGTTGTAAACGAACCGAGCTTGAGCGAGCTAAGGTTTAGCTCTTGATCGACTCGTTTGAAATTAATTTTGTTCGAAATTGCCTTGTGTTTGAAATTTCTTGTGAACAATGTGTTCCTGTTTAGCTCAATTTACATATTCTTATTTGTGTTCGACTCAAAATTGACTTGTTTAAATTAATTAGAAAAATATATGCTAGGGGTTGAATTTGAACCTGCACCATTTCTATGCATTAGAAGACGCAGAACTATATGACCACACATGCTATGGTTATTTAAACTTAGATATAAATATATGTAATATAATTAATATATATAATTGTCTTATTTCGAACTAAAACAAGTCGAACACGATCAAACAAAGGGTTGTTCGTGTTAAGCTCGTTTATAATTCGAGCTTAAAAAAACTTTTCTTGTTTAGCTTGCTTACTTAACAAACGATTTGAACACTAGCTGTTCGCTAACAACAAGCTTTTTTTGATAGCCCTAGGTGGCTAGTGTTACATGTACTTTGTGCACTTGTGAGATACACTTGCTTTTGATCATTTGTAGATATTTCTAAATAAAATCTTGGAGCTGCACTTGCATCTATTGAAAAAATTATTTACTAAAAATTTTATTGGCGTCAAAGTTTTTCAAGCCATTATTAATTCTCAAAAATGATATAATATCAAGATTAGATCTCAGCCTTGTACATGTCCTAACAGCTCAGACAACCTTTTCTAAAAATGGACAGCTCGTTAGAAGCCTGCTCCTTGATGCATGAAACATCTTGCACCTTGGGTGAAATTCACAATGGGCGGGATTCACCTTTGGAGAAGTCCAACTCAAGAATACAATCTTCTTAGGAGTATTTTATCTTCAGCATCATGATATAAATTGAATGTGAAATCGAATCATTAGCCACAATGCATAATCCTTGTATGTTTCTCCATTAGAGAAAATTTCAATTTCTATAATAATACGAGGAACAAAGATCAAAGTTCTCACATTTATGACCAACTTCCAAATATTTGTATTATTGCCACTCTCCAAAAGTCAAGTATTAACTAGAAACACATGATCTGAAATGTGAAGGAAGGTTCTTTTTTTTTATTTTTGAATCTCCAACTCTCTTTGCTTTTATTTATTATTCTCTAAAATCTTTGGAGAATAATAAAAATTAAATAGCTCACTCATAGTGGACATAGGTTTGCAAGGTTGAACCACTCTAAATTTTTGTGTGATGTATTTTTCTTTCTTGCGTGAATTTTCTCGACGTTTCTTATTTGTGGATTAAATTGAATCAAAATAAATTCTCTTATTCTTTTCCTCAAACTACAATGCACAAATAATCTTCATCTTCTTAAGTAAAATTTTGATGTTACCTTCTCTGGCAGAGCCTTTTTTGTCATTTAGGCTAAATCACTGATCTTGATAACTGAACTATTGAGTTGTTGGATATTCTTCTCAAGAACAATTGACATTGCTATTCTTGATAACTTAATTATTTAAATGCATTAAGAGTTTGTTAAAAGCATATCCATTGCTCATCACAAGATGTATTTAACCATGTTTGCACGAGCATGCGACAATGGCTTTTGGATTGGGGAAGCTTTCATGTAAAGTATGTTGTTGTAATAGAAACTAAGTGTAACCATTTACCTTTAAGAAATTATGTGTCAGAGTAATTAACAATGAATCTAATCTCGAACTCTTAACTAAGATTTATTGGATGATTTATTGTGATCAAAGTGTTGAACACTAGCTTAGACATAAAAATGATCAGAAGGACCTATTGAAATGACGGTGGTTGTCTTAGAAGGGAAGCGATTGAAGAGATGTTAGAGAAAATGTGGATAGAAGGCCTTGTTTTCTTTCTTCTTACGAAGAAAAGATTTATCTTTTTAATTATTTATTTGTAGTATCTGCGTTCTTTTTATTAGTGAACATGCGTTTATTTTGTTTTTAGAGGCCAACTACTCTTTTGAGGAAATTTCAGTTCCACTATTCTTTGGAGGAAATGTGGGACCCATTAACTAGAGATAGGTGTAAATTTATGTGATGAAGGTAATTAAGAGGACAAATTGGATGTTTTGCAACCCCGTGCTTTGTAAAAATCTGTAGTTATTGATGATATGATTAAATATATTCAATGAATAGGAAATTGATCGAGTCATTTGACTATGGCTATCTTGCTCACCTTAAATTGAATGTTGAGTTAGTTGAGCCGAGTTATTAAATCCAAACCAACATAAATTAACATATAATTTTGGATATATGTTGCACGAAATATTGGTGCGAAGTGTTACAGCAACTATTACAATCAATCACTTCCCATAGGCCATAGCCATTTGCACTGTGTGGTGTGAATTCTGTTGGTCCATTTTTTATGGCATCTTGAAAATGATGCTTCATATTATGATAATGGATTACTCACCAAATAGGTAATGGCCACGACATTGGCCCATCCTACAATTGCTGTAGTTGTAAATTTTCTCTGGACAAAAATATTCGTAAGGTTTGATATGTCTTAGAAATGATAACTTATTCTAAACCACATGTTGCAAGTAAGAAATCCTCTAATTTCTATGCTGATAAAGGAGTAAACATGAATATTTTCTCAGTTCATCATCATCGAATAAACCGTTAAGTAGGGAAATGAACATGTTCATCATTAATCTTTTAAAAAAAAGATAGAGAACATTAAGGAATGAAATTGCTGAGTTACCATCTATATTATGAATTTAGAAAATTGATTCCTCTTCAATCATTATAGAGATCTTATTCTGTAGTTTTTGGATTTGAAGTAATGACTATGAAAAAAGTATATCTTCTGACCTCCACATTTAAGAAGGTTTTTTTTTTATATAGGGATGTAGTTCTGGATTGGATCAAGGAAAAATAAGTACAACTACTAGATTTTAGAATAAAGGCAATACAAAAAATACAAGCTCACAAAAACTTGAGTTGCACTCTTTATCCATAGCAAGTATAGTAATATCAGAGATTTTTATCACGAGGATCTTATTATCAAGAAAATCAACTTCTGTGAAATCATATAAATTTATAGTTGAGATTTTAGCTTGAAAATTATTCAAATATTGAATACTTTTTTTTTGGGCTTCGATCGAGCTCAAATTGAGCCAAACAAGTTGATTCATGAGCTTTTTTTTTTAATTATAATTTTTAGCTGATTTTGAGCTAGGCTTGGAGCAAATTGAATCAGCTATCATATAAAAGGTATGCATATTTTTTTATTTCACACACTCACACATTAATATTAAATATTTTAAAAGATAAAAAAGAAAAATAAATCATTTCGACTCATCTTTTAAGCTGGCTCAAAATCTAGTTTATCGGGCAAAAAAAAAAAAAACAAATCAAGTTGGTCTACGAGTTTGTTTCAAGCAAACATGTATATACTTGATTATATTTTGAATCGGCTATATCAGCTTAAAGTCAGATTTCTCTCGCCTTGCACAAATTCAAAGTTCTCACTTAATTGGCTGCATTACATCATTAAGAGAAACTCGACAAAGGAGCTTACAAACTCCGAACTTGAGATGGAAAAATTGCTCCAAGTATAATGAATTCTAGCGACCTAAAGATATTTTATCTTTAAAGCGACTAATGCTTATTTATT